ATTAGAACTTTTGGTTTCTGATGCTTTCCAACTACATATATCATGTCATAATTGATTTGGCCTTTCACTTTTTCCAACTGATTTCATTCTTGACAAAACCCCGTGTTTATCGTTCTAGCAATGTTCTCGTTAAGGTACGCAACGGGTCTTGTTATCATCATAATAACTTTCCCTAAAGTTTTAAAAAGAAGCTGAAAACATGCTTCTACTCAATATTTTTATCGGATATTTACTTTCGTTTTAATTCATTGTATGTTATGATAAATCCTGAGCAATTCGAAAAAATATGACAAGACAAACACTAATTGGATAAACGCCGAGAAGATCGAAATGTTTTCATAAACACATGTACCTTTTGAGCAACGGAAAATTCCAACAGGGACCCATTTCGGCTACTTGATGCAGGGCTCTATTTTTAGAACAAAAGGACATTTCCAATTATAAATATTATAAAAATAGATTTACGCGACGACTGTAATCAGATAAGGGTAAATGACTCAAACGATGGCGAATAAAAGCGTTAAGAACCCATGGTTTTGGCATATAATTGGGTTTTCCTTTGAATGAATTGGGTTTTTGAACCCTGCAATGGGCAATTGCATTGGGTTTTTAATTATTTGTATTGCGTGATCACGCAAATACGCAGCTTATCTGGAGCTCTGAAATACAAATCTTTTTTTGTGCAGAAACATAAATTCCACCAAAAACAATTTCACAGAAAGATAATAGATTGCAATTGATCTTTTTAAAGAAATTAATTTGCATCTTAGACCCGGCGACAGTTTTTTTTTTTAGGAAAAAATCCTAAAAATTTTATTTCATAGAAAAGAGAAAGTCAAGTGCACCTGTTTATGTTCGGGAGTGTTTGAGTTGACTCTTCTGTAATGAAAATGTATAAAGCAAAAATAGTTGATACATCATCTTGCTTCAGATTCCTTTATTTTTACATATTTAGACTACAGGTTGATTTAATAATATTAAAAATTCACCAGTACTAAAAACTGAAAGATATGGGTCAACTAAGGGTCATGTGAAATACCTTTCTAATGAGTCATAATGTTACAGAGTAGGTGTGTTAGTATAACCAATTTTTACTAAAAGTACTAGTACTAGTACATTACAATTGGATCTTAAAAATACATAACATCAAAAACACTTCTATTTCTTGTGTGTTATCTAGGGATATTAGTGTTCAACCTCTGAAATTATACAGTCTGCCTTTTCACCAAATATTTAAAAAAAAAAATAATGATTTTGAACTTTCTAAAATTCCACCTAACAACCGATAAGACAAGTCTTTATTGACTAATTGCAGAAGAGTACATTAAATGATGCTAATAGATACATTTGTCTTTTGATGCCTCGTTCACACGTACATTTAATTTGAATTGATTTCAAATCGAATGCGAATTAATTCGCTAATCTGGTTCACACTCTTTTTCTTTAATTCGAATTGATTCGAATTGGCTAAATTACATTATCCAATTCGCAGTAGAAATGCGGTTTTGTTCATACGAAATAAAAGTTAACGTCATTCGGACAGTAAAGCGAGTTTGATATCCATTGCAATTTGAATTAGAATTTTCGTTTGGAAGTAAAACATTTCGAATGCGAATAATACTAATTCAAATTAGTTACAGCGAATCGAATTTGAATTACGTGTGATTATGCAGCATAAAATATTACTGGCATATATTAGGATCATAATGGTGCTATGTGGATAAAATTATGGGTTTTCAGGAGCTAAATTAGCATCCCTAATTTATTCCTACAATGGCTTCCATTTGGTCGATTGTAAAAATTAGCTGGCATAATGGGGAGATAATTTTGACTAAGTAGAATACTGACTGTCCATTTTTGTATATTTTCAGATTCCTTTTTAGAAGACAAAAGTCGTCACAATTTTATGCAGTTCTTTAGCTTTTTATATACCATACAATTGGATCATGAAGTCAGCCAATTTTGAAAACTAATTATTGACTGGATTGTCAATATTTCCATGTCAAATATTTTTTGTTCAACATTAATTGACAAGTTATTAGGAAGACAACCCATGAAACATTCAAACTTTTATATTGGTTCACAAGTCATCAAATTAGCCAATGCTGCTAAATTATCGACTTGAATAAGTCCATACTGGCAACTTTTTTATTTAGGTCAAATATATTTTGTTTAAAATTAAATGACTAGTTAAAGCAATATTTTGTTTAAAGGGGAGACAACAAATGAAACTTACAAATTAAGTCCCCTTATTTTCTAGTCCTAGCAAAATAACATATTTATAAATTCCTTTAAATCTTTTAAAACATTTTGTTAAACATTTGATTTTTTTTCAACTTTTACTGTCGAATTGTAACCTATATTGCTTCTTAAATTAAATATCTACATCAAAGAAAAAGTTTGATAGTGAAAACATGTCAAAACTTTTTTCTCTCACTCAATACTGCCTACACATTAGTAATAAATGCTTTTTTTGGTGAGGCTGGGTGGATTTGTCAAATAAGTTCAGAAGTCTTAACGATGGTAAAATAGATTTGTAAATTTTGTCTCTGTTCTGAGGTGGGGTTTTTTCATGAACGCCTAATCATGTACATATATTTAAAAAACATCCAAGAGTGTCTACCTTAATTTAAAAGTGTTGGTTATAACAGTTTTTAGAAATCCAATTCAGTAGAGATTAAACCACAGGACATGCCAGTCAAGACTCAAAGTGAACAAAACGAAATATTTTTGGATTAGGTTATCTAATGTTCTTTTTTTGTGTTATTTTAAAAGGTGCTCTTTTCTAAGTTTAGTTTAAACATATTTAATTAGAGTGGATTGGGAAACAAGTTGTTGCAACTTATATTAATCCCTTTCCACTTTGCGGATGCGAGTGCTGCCATGTAGTGGCATTTCTTTTTGTAAAAAGGGGGCAGAATTAAGGACAGTAGCTTTTTAAGGGATTTTTTGAATTTGAAGCAAAATAGGTCAAATAAAAAGTGTGGGCACTGCAAAGACATATAACACTGTATTACAAAGTTCACATGATTTATTTTTTTTTCATCTCAGTTTTACCAATATATTAATAAGGAGAAGTGGTATGAGTGCTCATCAGATAACTATTCACCAGAGTTTAAATGAAGTGGATATGTAAATCAATTATAGGCCACCATATGCTTTCCACAGCTAGGCTCACACCACAAATATTGATTATTCTTTTGTTTATCAAATTATGACAAAGTTGACAATTTGAAATAGCTTCAATTCACTTTTTGGACCTCAGGCCCCATTGACTTAGGTTGGGGCCACATAAAGTTATCCTCATCTGTCATACTGTTATTCCCCAAATGAACAATTAGACATTTTTTTTATTCTAAATGCTTTCACATATTGATCTGATTTTTAGTATGCGAGTCTACTATGACAAGTTACAGATCATGAATTTGCTATAGAAATTACTGATGTCACATTACACATGACAACATTTTTTGGACGATCCGGCATCTTAAAAGTGGACATGCTTTGGCAGAAAACAATTATTAGACTGGTTTGGGTAAAGAAAAAATCTGACAAAGTTGAGTGAAGATAATTGTAGGACACATTTGGGGAAAAGAAATTGTACATGTTTGGTCTAGATACCATTTTGTGGACACATTGCAGGGAAATGAACAAGTTTGAGACTGTTACATGTATATATGGATAACTTTTTTGTCCAGGAACATGTGAAGCTATTTTTTTTCTGGCAAAATACAGCAATAAATGAAATACAAAGGTCTCTTTTTCTTGTAGAACTTAACCTGAGAATAACCATGGTCCAAACTTCCAGTACAGGGTAACCTGTGTTTATCTGACAAACTGGGGGACCAGAAAAAAATGTCAGATTAAGTAGTGTGTTGGAATACTCCGTTTTTTTCTGCTAGGATCGGCATGATTTGGACCAAGACAATGTGTCAGTTAAAGCAGGATGTAGTAATACTCAGGTGTGGGATAAGTCAGGTTACACTGTATATATTTTGTGTGTTCCTCTAGGGAGTTTATTTTGCACCCTTGAACTATGTATCAAGAGACCTTACATACAATGTAGCACTCATTTCAGCTTGTCATAAAAAATGTGCAATAATCTATTGGTCAGTACCACTTTTTACTTGTTTACTAATTCACTGAGACATTTTTCTATGTTTCTATGAAAAGAGATTGTAAAATAAAATAACTTACCGTGGAGCAACTGGAGGTAGGCGGTTCCCCTGAACTACTGCTACTACGTTTAATGCGTTGATTGCCATGTCTTTATGTTATTCGCTTTGTATTCTCTATGTGGGCTGAAAACAAAAATTGAAACCAATGGTGAAAATTTTTTTACGAAAAAATACAATCTTAAAAAAAATATGAAACAATCCTTAAATGTAACCACTTATTGTTAAGTTTTTACTTTTTTATAACCAATTTATTGACTGTTCATCCCAACTAAAAAATAATTTTCCCACCATTCACCACCCTTAAATACTGATAAAAATACTAATTTTCTCAAACCCAAAAAGATAATTAAATAATCTTCCCAAACAAAATAAAATATTATATATTAAAAAAATAAATGTGACAAGAGCAAAACTGAAAAAAAACAAAAAATGATTTAAATTCAAGGATTGTTTCTTAAGATTTGACCACCTGACCACTGCATTCAACCAATCATATGGCAGTCCATCCTGTTTTGTTACCCAAAACCACAGTAACTGAAGAATTAAGGAGGAGAGGAATTCTGTTTACACCAAAAAAAATGTAATTTTCCCAAAAAAAAGATACCAATAAAAATATGTCTTCCAATAATTCTATTGACCAAAGTCTGCATATTTACTGAAACAATTGTTAAATAAAAATTAGAAACTATTTCATTACCAATTCAATGACCACAAAATTAGAAAATTAAAGAAACTTAGTGAGCGCTCTCACATACCCCACGTCCCCACATTGTCATTGGAGAAGTAAAATATGTGTAAGAAAAAAAATTGTACAAGAAAAAAAAATTGAAATATAATTTCCTGTCAATATGCAGATCTACATAGTATGTCCTTATTATCTAAAAAGTTTCATGAAATTCTGTTGTGTGGTATCAGAGGAGTTGCGATGACAAACTGTTGCAGTAGTACATTGAAGCAAATAAGTTCAAAGGGGCATAACTCCTAGAAAAAAAATTGAACCGTAATTTCCTGTCGATATGCACATCTACATAGTATGTCCTTATTATCTAAAAAGGTTTCATGAAATTCTGTTGTGTGGTATCATAGGAGTTGCGATGACAAACTGTTGCAGTAGTACATTGAAGCAAATAAGTTCAAAGGGGCGTAACTCCTAGAAAAAAAATTGAATCGCAATTTCCTGTCGATATGCACATCTACATAGTATGTCCACATTATCTAAAAGGGTTTCATGAAATTCTGTTGTGTGGTATCAGAGGAGTTGCGATGACAAACTGTTGCAGTAGTACATTGAAGCAAATAAGTTCAAAGGGGCGTAACTCCTAGAAAAAAAATTGAACCGTAATTTCCTGTCGATATGCACATCTACATAGTATGTCCTTATTATCTAAAAAGGTTTCATGAAATTCTGTTGTGTGGTATCATAGGAGTTGCGATGACAAACTGTTGCAGTAGTACATTGAAGCAAATAAGTTCAAAGGGGCGTAACTCCTAGAAAAAAAATTGAATCGCAATTTCCTGTCGATATGTACATCTACATAGTATGTCCTTATTATCTAAAAAGGTTTCATGAAATTCTGTTGTGTGGTATCAGAGGAGTTGCGATGACAAACTGTTGCAGTAGTACATTGAAGCAAATAAGTTCAAAGGGACGTAACTCCTAGAAAAAAAATTGAACCGTAATTTCCTGTCGATATGCACATCTACATAGTATGTCCTTATTATCTAAAAAGGTTTCATGAAATTCTGTTGTGTGGTATCAGAGGAGTTGCGATGACAAACTGTTGCAGTAGTACATTGAAGCAAATAAGTTCAAAGGGGCGTAACTCCTAGAAAAAAAATTGAACCGTAATTTCCTGTCGATATGCACATCTACATAGTATGTCCTTATTATCTAAAAAGTTTCATGAAATTCTGTTGTGTGGTATCAGAGGAGTTGCGATGACAAACTGTTGCAGTAGTACATTGAAGCAAATAAGTTCAAAGGGGCGTAAATCCTAGAAAAAAAATTGAACCATAATTTCCTGTCGATATGCACATCTACATAGTATGTCCTTATTATCTAAAAAAGGTTTCATGAAATTCTGTTGTGTGGTATCAGAGGAGTTGCGATGACAAACTGTTGCAGTAGTACATTGAAGCAAATAAGTTCAAAGGGGCGTAACTCCTAGAAAAAAAATTGAACCGTAATTTCCTGTCGATATGCACATCTACATAGTATGTCCTTATTATCTAAAAAGGTTTCATGAATTCTGTTGTGTGGTATCAGAGGAGTTGCGATGACAAACTGTTGCAGTAGTACATTGAAGCAAATAAGTTCAAAGGGACGTAACTCCTAGAAAAAAAATTGAACCGTAATTTCCTGTCGATATGCACATCTACATAGTATGTCCTTATTATCTAAAAAGGTTTCATGAAATTCTGTTGTGTGGTATCAGAGGAGTTGCGATGACAAACTGTTGCAGTAGTACATTGAAGCAAATAAGTTCAAAGGGGCGTAACTCCTAGAAAAAAAATTGAACCGTAATTTCCTGTCGATATGCACATCTACATAGTATGTCCTTATTATCTAAAAAGTTTCATGAAATTCTGTTGTGTGGTATCAGAGGAGTTGCGATGACAAACTGTTGCAGTAGTACATTGAAGCAAATAAGTTCAAAGGGGCGTAAATCCTAGAAAAAAAATTGAACCGCAATTTCCTGTCGATATGCACATCTACATAGTATGTCCACATTATCTAAAAGGGTTTCATGAAATTCTGTTGTGTGGTATCAGAGGAGTTGTGATGACAAACTGTTGCAGTAGTACATTGAAGCAAATAAGTTCAAAGGGGCGTAACTCCTAGAAAAAAAATTGAACCGTAATTTCCTGTCGATATGCACATCTACATAGTATGTCCTTATTATCTAAAAAGGTTTCATGAAATTCTGTTGTGTGGTATCATAGGAGTTGCGATGACAAACTGTTGCAGTAGTACATTGAAGCAAATAAGTTCAAAGGGGCGTAACTCCTAGAAAAAAAATTGAATCGCAATTTCCTGTCGATATGTACATCTACATAGTATGTCCTTATTATCTAAAAAGGTTTCATGAAATTCTGTTGTGTGGTATCAGAGGAGTTGCGATGACAAACTGTTGCAGTAGTACATTGAAGCAAATAAGTTCAAAGGGACGTAACTCCTAGAAAAAAAATTGAACCGTAATTTCCTGTCGATATGCACATCTACATAGTATGTCCTTATTATCTAAAAAGGTTTCATGAAATTCTGTTGTGTGGTATCAGAGGAGTTGCGATGACAAACTGTTGCAGTAGTACATTGAAGCAAATAAGTTCAAAGGGGCGTAACTCCTAGAAAAAAAATTGAACCGTAATTTCCTGTCGATATGCACATCTACATAGTATGTCCTTATTATCTAAAAAGTTTCATGAAATTCTGTTGTGTGGTATCAGAGGAGTTGCGATGACAAACTGTTGCAGTAGTACATTGAAGCAAATAAGTTCAAAGGGGCGTAAATCCTAGAAAAAAAATTGAACCATAATTTCCTGTCGATATGCACATCTACATAGTATGTCCTTATTATCTAAAAAAGGTTTCATGAAATTCTGTTGTGTGGTATCAGAGGAGTTGCGATGACAAACTGTTGCAGTAGTACATTGAAGCAAATAAGTTCAAAGGGGCGCAACTCCTAGAAAAAAAATTGAATCGCAATTTCCTGTCGATATGCACAACTACATAGTATGTCCGTATTATCTAAAAAGGTTTCGTGAAATTCTGTTGTGTGGTTTGAGAGGAGTTGCGATGACAAGAAACAGGACTGACGGACTGACAGACTGACAGACGGACAGGTCAAAAACATTATACACTCTGCAACTCGTTGCGTGGGGTATAATTAAGAATTCATTGTTTTTGAAAACAATTGCAGATTGTTATAAATATCAAAATTATCAATTTTCCTATAGATTTAATTTTTTACAATTTCTGTTTTTATTTACAAGCATAAAATAAAGGATTTAAATGATACCAAATTATTTATAAAAGTAAGTTTTTAAATGAGATATTCCTCCTCCTAAAACTGATGCAATAGTTCTTTGATGAATATGTAGGCCATGGACAGCAGCTACCATTCACATAGCTTGTCAGTGGTCTCCAAACTTTCTACAACAGCTGGAAACATCTCCAGCCAGTGGTAGTTGAACATGTTCATGTTATTCTGCTAATATGCATTATACAAAAAATTATAAAGACAGCGAAAAATAAATATATTAAACACAGTAAAATAGAAGTATTTTGCTTGTGTGTATATTTTATTTAACTGTGTTTTAGAGGTTTCTTTTGCATAGATTTAAGTTTGTTATGCAGGCCTCTACAATAACTTTTTTTTCAACTTGCTCAATAGGACAAGTACATACTAAAACTTACTTGTCCGAATGGAATTGTAACTTGTCCAAAAAAAATCTTAATATAAACCATTTTTGCATTTTAAGTTGATTCAATGAACAAAATGAATTAAAACAATAGAACATAATTTGATTTATATATCTCCTGATATCCTTTTCAAAAATATGAGTCGTGAACAACTGAGACTACTCATGTCACAGGACTTAGGTTCTAGTTTTCATCAATGCCAAAGTCTCATCAGACTCTGCACATGAGGCACAGTCTGGTAGGCCTGTTAGTCTACACTCATTTGGTTTGTATCCTGGTCTTTTATGTTGTTAAATATTGATTATTATAATTACAGCCAAATGACTTGAGTGTGTAGGTAATGGTAATATCTTTGGTTAGCTTGCTTGCTAGCTGAACCATGACGTCATTATTAGGTTGGCCTATACCACCCTCCTCTAAGAGTAGACTCTGATAGAAAACCAATCTGTCTGTAGGACTAGACTACTCCGGAAGGAGGGTAGTAAGCAAGCTTGCCAAAGAAATTACCTTTACCTACACACTCAAGTCATTTTGCTGTAATGCCTTACTACAATCAGCTTTATTTTTAATATATTAAAATGTTTATTCACGCGAAATAAAGTATTGTTTTGTCTACATATGATCAAATATGATTTTATGCATTTCATGGTCAATAATTTCTTCATTTTTATTTTTAAAATATTTTTGTTAAATGAAATTTATCATATTCATCATAAAGCAACAGAATAAGGTAGGGAAACAGGTCCTAGTTTGTCTTGGTCCCGAAATGTCTCCTATGGTGCCGAACTGTCTATTAAGACCCAAACTGTCTTGTTACCTTATCTTCAAAGGGCATCATTGGTAAGACTGGTTTCCAAGATGAGTATGGTTTTATCTGTTATAAAGTATCTGACAAATAACCAGTTTTAAATTATCGATCGCAAGTAAACATGTCAAATTAATATTTGTTTTAATCTTCTTTTCTTGTTTTTGTTTATTTCTTTGAAGTTGGATATAATTTATTTTCTACAGAATGATTTGACTTGTCCCATCGGACAAGCTTGATATGGCTTTTACTTGTCCGACCTTTTTTTCCTCTGGTACCGGACAATTGGACAAGCGTTATTGTCGAGCCCTGTTATGTATTGATTTAATATTTCTGTGAATTTGCCATTATTTTGTCTGCCCATCTTCGACTTGTGGTCAGTGATTTTGCATATAACTTGTCAAGTCTCTCTTCGGCTAGTGGTCGGTGATTTTGACATTATTTTGTCCGTTCCTCTTTGACTTGTTGAGTTTTATTTCTCCCTTTATCTTCAACCTTTTTTTGTTTTACGATAACAGTTATCTCATATATATCTCTCAACAACATTACATATGTATATTTCATTTTTTTTATGAATTTTGTGTACAAAATCTGAATATGCTCAATATTTGATAAGTCTTAAAGAAAAACTTATCATATATTATATTTTTAATCATTGTTGAGGGTTGTGAAGCCAGAAATTAAAGAAAAATATTTATGTCCAAACTGTACAAAACAAATTAAAAGTAAACTAACTGTTCATTAAAATTTGAAAATTAATAATAAAAAATTGCATAAAATTAAGTTTCACAACTCTCAATGAAATTTTAAATACCACAGAGAAGGGAAACAAAAAGACGGGTCTTAAGAGTAAAATAATTTCCGTTATTACTGACAAAGAATTGTTGTGTGTTTATAATTAAAATATTTCTTTAATTAAGCGACATTAATATGAAAAAGTGTTGCTTGAGATCAAATTTTAGCAAATTTGTGCCAAAGTATTATTAAGCATCAGAAATATTAGAACTGCATAATTTGCTTTTCCTTGTTCCCCCCACCCCACCCCCCCGAAATATATACACATCCCCAAATTATTATTTATATACAATGTACTTTCAAATAAATGTGTATACTAAAATAAATTAATTTACAGATAAAGAAATAAGGAGATTACAGTGGTAAAAATATGATTGCCAATGAGACAACTCCCCACATAAGACCAAATAAGCAGTTAGATTTGATATTTTTTTTATTTCCATGTGTATTATATTTATCCATTTATTGATTTTAACACACAAAAAAACCCTCCTCTGTATGGCATTTAAAACAATATAGAGCTATACTCATGAAATGGATCAAGTAGTCAGCAGTCTAAAATCATGAAGATGTCCACATCTCTGTAGTTTCATCTCTTTACAACACATGTACACATCAACCATATTAATGTTCATTTTTGCATCTACATCAGTTTTACGAAATCGCAAGCATAAAATCAACAACAAAAAAATGAACATCTGTACACTTCAACTAACCTATTTTAATTTGCAATGATTTCCGGGCGCGAAATCTCTTTTATACCACGAGATCACATGACCAAAACATTCAGTTTTGGACCGTAAAGTGTATACTTAACAATATACGCAATTAACAGAGTTCAAATTCCACGAAAAAAATCAACAAACAATCATGATAAATAGAAATACTAATCAAAATGTTAATTTCAACCTGTTTGCAAACAACTTAAAAGAAATGGGTTGCCTCAATCGCAATTGACCTTGAACTTTGTTTGATAACTCAGAAACTGCATATACTCCGATTTTCTAGTTCCCTGCTTTAAAAGGATCGGAATAACCATAAGAAATTGACTGACTCTTATTTCTTTTTTTAAATGCTTGAAAGATGCAAGAACGATAATCATAATCTAATCAGTATAGTAAAGAGCAGAACATCAGGAAGACCCCCCCCCCCCCAAAAAAAAAATAAACAACAACAAAACTTACTTAGTTTTGACAGGAAAGAGAATACCAGTAAGGTCTGTCTATAGAACTCATTTTTCAAGTTAGCGGTTTCGTTTGTTATAATGGTGCACATTTTTGTTTTGTTAGGAATTTCTTTTGGTGTTTTGAGGGGGGCTTGGTAATGTTGCTGTCTCTTTCCATTTTGTAAGTTAAGTATGTCTGGCATTTTGTGCGCGGAGGTACACAAAGTTTCAAACAAAAGATGAAATCGCCATTGCAAATAGGAAAAACGACCAAAAGTCAAACAACAGCCCACAAAAAACAAGACACTGAGCAACATGAACCATACAAAAACACTCGGGGAGATCTCAGGTGATACTTAATTTGAATTATATGAACACAAACTGCAAGTACAATTGGACTATGTTATCTGGTCGGTTGATGCAGAGACATACAAATTGTATTATATATCTCTGGTTGATGTAACCGGTAGTAGTGTCCTTATCAAAAAGCCTTAATTATCATCTAGTTATATCAAAAATATTTGAACTTCAACATCATCGTCATGTTAGGTCAAAGTGTATTGTTATTTTTAATGGACTTTCTCAGGCACACAAAGTGACAAATAATACTTTCAAGAATTACTCTTGTGCTTCGTTTAACGATTCCACTTGTTTTACATCAGTATCATACAAATTAAAATCAAGCAATTAAGATCAGAATCATATGTTCTGTCTTTACTCTTGGCTAAAACCGCTGAATTTGATTTTCCCCTTAATTTTAAAGACGTGTATTTAAACAGATGAGATTGAAGTGGTACTGATTGCTTCGGTATATACAGATCTGGCTCAATAATGTTTGTTATAGTTTAATCTATCTTTTGCGAAGGCATTTCAGGAGATTATTATCTAATTTTGTCTTTTCAATGATCTGTTATCCCTAATCGTTGGGAACCTTTTGCATGTATTACAGTTAGCAATCCTGGAATGCGCGTAAATAAAAGTATAAAGGATTTCTTAAGGTATGGGCATCACTAAGGTTGCGAGTTCGAAATCAGCAGTGCCAGGTGCGCTCGACTCTAATAAATTTCAGTGGCGTAAAGGGCGTACACACCCTCTTCGATCACCGAAAAGTTATTTCATAATGTTTTTTACGATTTATATGATTTTTTAGCTTAAATCGTCCAAGATTTTTCGTATCGATTCGATCGGCGGTAAATAATCCGTTTTATGGAATTACGAACTCTTTCAAAAATCCTTGATTCGCCCCTGATGTCTGTTGTAGGCTATTCTAGGAATATGTCGTTATCACGAACATCCGTATCCGACGTTTTTATCGTTGAGTCGGAATTTACTCTCCTCCACCAGACACAACCTCGGAGTAGAAGCTCTCAATTTGGGTTTAACCAGCAACTGAATTTTAAAGGTGAAACCAGTCCTTTTTTATCGTTATCTATCTATCTATCTATCTATACTTCTGCGTCAGTATCAAATAAATTGTTAATCTAATAAAGTCAATTCCACCGCAGTGGAGTGATACTTGTTTACACCATAAGAATAAAAGAATGTTGACC